ATGTCAGCATTTCCAGCTATGGATAAACGTTATAATTATTAATATATCTAGCGCGTTTCCCGGCCATATACTATCTATGCGAATTCAATAAAGTGCATACACCCGGCTTTGGCTGCTCATTTTGGAGCTGCAGAGTTTGCAGCCGTACTCTTACACTGGCTATCAGCCTGGTAGAGTGAGTGCTGCTTGGAAAAAAATAAAATTAAGTAATGTGTAGGTATGATGATATATAGTTAAACTGGTGGCACGAATGACCTCATATATTATGAAACAGTATTAAATACCTGTATTAAGTTTGTTCATCGTATTGTCGAATCTCGTGGTGGGTTATATAGGGTCTGTGTGTGTGATGGGTCCTCAGGAGAGGGTTCTGTTGAAGATCTCCTCCTGCTCCTCCTGCTCAGGGCGTCTCTGCTTCGTTGCTGAAGTACTTTGACGATAACTACAGAGCGCCTACCCCCCACAAATTCGATAGTAGTGTGGATGAGAAAGAGTATGTCTAAGCTTTTAGGAGAGCGGCGTCTCAGTCGTTCATGGTAATTGATACCAGATACCGACTATGGGCCAGATCACGGCAAACCTTCTGGATAACCCGTCATATGAGATGGGCAGTAGCGGGAGTATTGCTGTAAGGAGGGGCTACGCCTTCTCATTGGATGTCTCCATTGCAGGTTGGTCGTTGCTATGACTTTTGTCGCGGTTAATTTCCATGGACCTATCAATGGCAACACCCTGAGTATGGTGTCTGGAGTGGTGGTAAGTGCTTGTGTGTAGGAGTTGCATCATCGGTGCAGTGTTGGGGGAATACATGCGCTTTCTTCAGCTGAGCTCAAGAGTTTTATCGATAATTATAGGAGTTTATATACGAACTAGGGTAGACGTGTTTAGGTGCTAACAAGAATCTCTCCGAAGATTTATATTCTATGTGCATATTCTTCACACTGGCTCGGTAATTCTTTTTGTACTCATCCTCTTGACAGGTCCAAATTGCAAGTGGTGTATTATTACTAATTTCCGTTTGCCTTACTGTGATTTCATTTGGCAAACCTCGTCGGCTATTGACTGCTGGGATGTTATTTTTCGTATCTACATCTTTATTCTCCTGCGTCTATGTCTACAACTTCGGCAGAGCTATGGAGGATGTAAGAGAGCAGCCCTACTATGTTTGGTATTTTCGTATTAGGCTGTCACTGACAGCGTATATCGTTATGGTCCAGTATTCTCAAGAATCGTCTGGGTAGCTGATCCGGTAGGTGTCCTTGTAGTGTTGTAAGCAATAGGGATTGGTGTGGTATGCTTAGGGCCTATTCACCATCATAGCGAGCCATGTTAGTATGTCCCATATTGGTGCCTTACCTTTACTATGCATTGACGTTATTGTCACTATTGGTGTTATCGCGAGGTGAGATCCGTTGAGGAATAGGGATGTGGCTGATTACAATGTCCAGTTCCCTATTCTGGTTGGAGAATTCATCCGTACTACTGTCCATGGCCGATTTGATTAACTTCATCATAGTGATAGCAGTCGGTAAGTTGCCTGTTGTTGTCATCCTCCCTCCTCCTCCTCCCACTATCTGCCTCTCCTCCTCTTCAGCTTTCTTATATACCATAAATCTGGAAAGTCATTGGCGTCTCCTATGGGCCATCTCTCGTGATAAAGTACCAACTTCACCGGATACGTATGTATCGGTAGAAGGATGTGCTACTGAATTTAGTACTAAAACTATGTACTATTTCCGAGTTCATCATAATAAAGGTGGGTTGAATCTCCGATACACTGGTTGTTGTTGTTGAGGCCACACTTTGGCAGATTCCTATCTTTCGTTGCAGTCTACAAGAAGACTTCGGGATCTGCTCACTCGTGACGCGAAGGAGCATCCTGAGGAATGGCAACAGTAGGTCTGGTGAAAGGGTATGTGTAGGTCATCATGAATGGCAGGTTTATATGTCTGAGTTTTGACAATCTCGATCACGCTGGTGAAGGGGTCATTGAGACCAGAATGCATCGTCTTGAAGTTGTCATTAACGGTATTGTGTGTCGTCGTCCCGATTTGGTACTACCCCATCCTCTTCCGCAGTCGTTGTCGTACTATTATTATTCTTTAATAAGGTGATGATGATGTTCCCTCGACCGGAGGGTAATAATATCCCTAGGATGAACATAACATTAATCGATGTTGGTAGCCGTGGGGATGTTGAGCCGTACATCGCCATTTCAAAGGTGAATAATAATAATAACATTATCATATCCATAACAACCCCCTCCCTTATAGGAGCTCAACGCGATGGGCCATCATTGTCGTATCTGCACTCATGATAAGTTCCGAGATATGGTTGAGAGAAAAGGAATAGAGTTCTTCCCAATGGCCCTTGATGCCCCTGGCCATTGGCAACCTGAGGATTTCATGAGGTGAATTCCCCACATACGTTCGCAATTGCTGATCACACTTGCTAACAGGCACGCAGCCGAGAGCCCCTCATGGAGTCCCAAGTTCCTTTTCACTCCCCGGGATATGTGGTACATCCTGCTACATACTCCTGGTATGATGGAATCCTTGAGGGAAATCTTCTTCCCCCCAGGGTGGCAAACCGACAAGGTCGGGGCCTGGGCAGCTGTGAAGAGTAAGCGTATTGCTGGGGACTTGACGGAGCTGTCATGGTCGTAGGTAATCGCGAGGAGCGTTGGGTTACCCATGCTATGATCGCCAATCCGCCATCATATATTCACGTCCATCTGGCTGAGAGACTTGGAGTTCCCCTTCATATGTAGGTTGTGTTGGCTTCCTGATGTGGGAGGGTGGACGGTATTAGTTCCCATCTCGCTACACACAGTTCCTATACAAAATTCCACGCTGATA